GTTGCCTTATCTAACGGGACTATGGTTCATCCAGCCAGCGTTACACAGAATCTGACTGACTTAGAAGAGCTCGAGAGAGTTAAAATAATACATAATTTAACTCATCGAGCATATGAGCATACTTATAAGATGGCTATTCGTGCAGGGCTTGATCACCCGGCGCTGAATGAAACCATACGTGAAGTTTACCGACGGTGTGCTGATTGTAAAAAGAACCAGATCAAGCGCTACGGTTGGGCACCCTAAAAAGTGTGACAGAAGACCAACCGATGCGCCGTGTCATAGTCGATTTGGTTAAACTCCTCCCGCGATCCAAGCATACTGGCGATGTATATATCGTCATTTCCTATGTGTGGCTTCGGGCTATAGCTTACTTTGTGCAATACCGAACAAACGCCCGCAAACAGTGGCAGAGTTATGCTATCACATTTTTAATAACTTCGGTTTCCCCCGAGTACTATATTCTGATAACGGTAGTGAGTTTTGTACCGACGTAATGGAGGCACTTATACTCGTATCAGGCATGACCCATAGGCGTGATGTTTCTTATAAACCTCAAACGTAGGGTGCAAATGAGACACGTCATAGAGAACTAAAGAAGCTATTGCGTACCGCACTGGATGACATTGAGGATATGTGACCTTATCATTTGAAATGGGTTCAGACTCAAATGAATAACTGCATTAATCCTCAAACTGGAACACTCCCGTTTCACTATTTCTTTGGCCGCTATAGTGAATTACAAGCAACGTTTGACAAAACTGCGCCGGAGAAACACGTTACTCTGTGGCTACAAAAGGTCGAGCATATGCAGAACGTTGTTTACCCGTGTTTCCTCGAGCACAAAAATCGTGTCCTACTTAAAGCGTATGACCGATTAACACTAAGAACATTGTTCAATTCAAAGTTGGCGATTATGTTAACATTATAAATCGCAATGCCAACGTTACCGAACTCTCTTCTAAGACAATTGGACCTTTTGTTATTTCCTACCATGATGAGAAGAGTGATACTTACGAAGTGAATAGCATAGATGGTACTAGCGCAACTAATCTAGGTACTCACCGTATCCCTACCTCCGAACTCTCATTCGCTCGCTCATTTGATTCTGATGTCCCAGTAATGGAGTCACGAGTCAAAGATATAGTTGACAAAACATCCGAAGACGGTTACACTTACTACAAGACCCGTTTTATATATGGGACAGTAGCTTGGCTAACCTCCGATGCGTTTTGTAAATATCGCGACTTCATAAGAAATGGAATAAGCGTTTACATAACACACGAGATAAACGAAAAGGGTTTCCTCAGGTGACTACAAACTCGGATGGATCTGAAATTTCCTGTTTGCCACCTACTTCCTATGTGACTAAACTTTCAGATCTGCTTACCAACAGAGCAGAAAATTCTTCGAACTTACTTACTAATGAAGAACAACCTTTGGCTATTACCTTACCAAGTAATAAACGTAAGGCGCCTACATCGGAAATGGTCACTGGACCAAATACTAAACGACATTAGAGTACAACATGAGTCTTGAACTCGTACATATAGGCACATACTTAATCGATAAGCCATGACCGAAACCGTTTTACTTTGGTTTTCGCTTTACGAACTATATCGTACCTTACGTACGTCCGTAGTCCTAAAGGCTATTGGGGGCTCCGTAGAAAAACGGCCTCCGGTCAGTCTAATATATCAAGATCAAATGAGATAACACATTGGTTTTTATTTGTATTTAAAGTAATTTAATACAAGTTCTTTTTCCAATATTGCCAAAGTGTTCTAAATTCACTTTGATGGCTCCAATAGCCTGAATATTTGGTATGACTCATTTACTTGGACCTATTTGAGACGATAGTAGATGTAGGATATTATGAACTAAATTTTATAATTGCTGAACTACTACTTACAGGTTTTGGTCTTCCCGCCAATCTCCAAAATCCAAGAAGTCATTTCTTTTTTTAACTTATTTTCAGATGTAACTTTTTATATATTAGCTAATGTATTAACTTGACTTACGTCCTTATGTCTATCTACAAATTAGACATATGGTCATGAACACTTAGTACTTCTAGTGAAAATTATTCAATCAAGAACAGCTAGAGGTACGTCCTGTGTAATCGAGGATACTACCAAGAGGCAGTCCCGATCATTCTTACACAAGCTACCACTGCTAAATCCTAACTGACTTAAATTGTATCTTAGTTTATATGACATAGTTTAAAACATAGTAATATCTATCGAAGTTTACAGTATTTCTGCTACTGCGCATTGCTCGTCACCTTGAATATGGCCCCAATACTTCCTTTGCCAGTAGAAGATGGTAGCTAGGTACTGTCTGAGCATTCCTATACACAAGCCTACTTGCACAGATAGCGTTAGTTATAGTCAAGTCCACAAAGAAATCATGGACTCGCATCTCCCATGATCTTGTGAAGTGCCCTTCCTCGACAGATATGGTATTACTTCTCAGGTTGTTGTTGATATCTAGAGTGGTCCTTTCTCTATTATAGTAGTCCGAATAAACAATAGGATATTGTATTTGATAACCCTTATCATAGGTGTATCGGTACACCCTATCTCCTGTGCGATGTACGGTACCATATGTCGCCGCACACAATCCCGTATACCGCGCGTCTTTGAAAGCTATTATATAAAAGTCTTTCTTCCTGGGCACTGCTTCCTTTTTGGAATTAAAGGCGCCCTGCAAGGTTCCCATACTAAAGAGTGGTTTGTCCTGCATTGGTGACTTTATCTTCTCACCCGGAATCCCCTTTGGCCAGCTACTACCTTTTTTTTGCAATGAACATTCCATATAGTACAAATGATAGAAGTACATATAGAGCTTTGAGGACAGAAAAACCGCTGTCCATAATAACTTTCCTTCAAGACCCTTAATGCCGTCCGTTAATCTCATGACGATGCCCACTGTGGACAGCTCTTCGGAATACAGTGGCCTCGGCAGGTAAGCTATCTTCACAAAGGTCGACTCTCAAAATGATGTTCGTCTCGCAGCAGGCAATGGTCTTCCACTCATTGTCATTATCTTTTGGTTTTCTAGGACAATGGATCTGGGAATATCCCAACGGGTTATCCCAGCTCATCATAGTCTCGTCGATACACACCTTAGAGCTAGCATAGAAATGTGCATCCGTGTTTGTGTTCCATTGTTCAACCTATAGGGATAAAACCTATAGTAGCCTTTGTCGTCTTTCTCAGCTTGTGTCACTGGTGATGTACACAGAGTAAGGTAGCGTTGTATGTCTGTATATTGTGTGACCCTCATGAAGCTTCCAAGGTATGGCAATGGATCAAGGCGTCCCTTTCAAGGTCCCAGAAGTTGTTAATGCTTGAAGATTAATACTTGGCCATAATAAGTCTTAAAGACAACCATACAAGGTATTTGTTAACATCGATCTCGCGCCTGCTTACCTTCCTTAATGAGTCGTTAGTCGCAGGAATAAGCGTGTTCTTAACCCAGTCCATCGGCAGCAGGTGAGTAAAGACATCCGCGTAGGATGCGTCGTCGTATATACAAGGTAGCTTTGCATGAAAATCATCCACATCATTCTTCTGTCTTGTGCACACGGTAACATCATATAGGTCGCTATCTATTAGGACGTCTCCTGTTTTAAAATTATCGTCCAAGGGTCTTGTGTCGACATCCACCTCTCGTGTGTCAATAGCGTTCTGTATGCGATTTGTCCCTATATCTACTTCTTCAGCGGTGCTGTCGACAAGTCTGGATGCGTTATGTGGTGTACTCGTTGCATTGTTATTGTTTGTGTTGGTAGTTGTTCGAGTGAAAGTGTTAGTTGTGTCTGCGTTCGCATCTGCGCTACTGTTGTAAGATTCGGTTTATCAAGGCGATATTAACGCCTTAGAATAAATAATCGCGTAGGTAAATTCTAAGCATCGTGAAAATTTTAAAGTAAATAAACGAAATGAGACTTTTAGTAAAGTTAGGTATTCCTCGTGAAAACAGCAATACTATGAGGGATTGTGAGGCTGAGACATTGCCTATATACAATCCTCTCAGTACTGTTTCCGCCGAAGGGATTTTGTTTAGTGTTTCGTTGTCGCTCTATTAGAAACTATGGTATGTTTCGTTGGGGCGAATCAGAGAGACTCATAAAATCCTAACTTTAGAAAAGAAAGAAAAATACTCTTGATATCCTTAGTTATTGTCTTAACCAATAGCTTGCCACTTATCAAGAATTACTGACTTAGCCTTCATCAGACTGGCACATCTGGTTGGCTGATCGGAGGAACAACTAGCTGAAGGTGTAGGAGGGTCCCTGAGGAACCCCGAAGGGCCACCTCCCCGGGATAAACATCCGGGGAGGGACCCTTCATCATGATCCCCCGTAGGGGTCCCCCACTCTAGTTTTTCAAAGAGTGGACATGCCCTCTCAGAGAGGGGTAATCATACTATTCGTTAGCAAGGTAACGATTCCATTTTTCATCATCTTGTTTAAACATCTTACTATGACGTTAATAGTCCTTAGAACCCTATATTCGATTGAGCCATCTCGCTACCGAAGTATTCAGATATAAATAGATTTGGAAAGTAAATATAGTTATATTAATAGAAATAGACCAAATCTTATGTTTGGTATTTCATTGGGGCCTTTTAATGGCCTTGTCCAAATATCTGACATGTAAAATGTAAAGGTATTAATTAATAAAACCGTTAAAACCCATTTAGGAAACTTAAGTTCCTTGTACTATTAAGAGTACGTTTATAGTTTACGTACTGCTTAAGAGTACGTTTATAACATATAGTCTAATGTGGAGGCCCGGCTATTACACAGCCCCCACCCAGCTTTGAGACCCAGGAGAAGCAAGTTGCTCACTCAAGCTGATTATGGGTCAAAAAGCGAGAAAGGAAAAACGGGTCGAAAACAGTAAGTAGCATAACATATAGTTAATGTTTCTCAGGCGGAGAAGTTAAGCGTTCTCTGTTACCCTGTGAGTTTTGGGCTTAGGTCCAGTAGGTCCGTGGTGGTCGACTGGACGTTTCTTACGCTTCAGTGTCTTAAGCACAAATGAAGTGTGAGCATTATAGCTCGGGAAAAATGCTGTAGGCGGATAAGTGTTAACTTCCGTGCCTTCAGACGATGGAAACATGCTATCTTTTTCAGCTTGTGACTTATGCAGGCGTTTACGCCATTTTCGATTAAAGGCTTTTAAATAGTCTTGATTATCGAAAGCTTCTGAAGTCAACTCAGCGATTGTACCGTCTATAAAGCGTGTACGATAGTATGTATAGCCTCCCTTATCCGCTCTCCATATAATGTCTTTAAATTCAGAACGATCAAGACGGGCATTAGAGTCATGTCGTCTTGCGAGTATAATCTCTGTAGTCGGAATACGACTTGTGCCTATATTAAGCGCACTAGAACCATCGGGGTTATTTACCTCGTATGTTCCACTTCTAGTGTCTGCTACAGAGATTATATATAGACCTATCCATTTAGATGTTAATACAGTAGCATCAGAATTACGTTGACGGATATTAACTCTGTCACCGACCTGATACTCTGCTATCTTCTTGGTAGTGTTCAAACGCTTTTGCCTTTTAATAAGGCTATATTGCGTATTTCTCGCAAGCAAGAATATACAACGTTATAAATACGTTGTACCTTCTCTAACCATGGTAACTCATGGTGATCAGGTTCGTCCTTGTTAAAGGGTATTTGTAACTCACTCTATCTGCCACGAAAACAGTGAGCGGGTGTAGTTCATGTAACTGGGTCAGCACACTCGTTCATCTGTGTTTGTACCCACATAAGGTGGTACGGCCAATCATCTGCATCATCCGTTAATGCAGTACGCAAGAAGAACTTAAGTCTTCTATGGCGCGTTTCATTCGCGCCTTGCGTTTGCGGCTTATATGGCACACTTCTCTTGTGGCATATGCCTGATACGAGTACTAGCGATTCCATTACGTCATCGCAGAACTCACTGCCGTTATCAGTGCACATAATACCTGGCCATCCGTGGTTAGCAAAGACTTGGCAACATAATTCTGCCACGGTCTACGTATTCTTAACTTTTAATGTATAGAGCAAGTTAAACCGTGACGCCACATCAAAGAAGTGGCATACGTAACGGTCGCCTGTGTGCTCGGACGTGGGCAGGTCAACCAGATCAATGATGACCCTGCGCCATGGAATACCTTCAGTCACACTCGTAAGCGGTGCGAACCCATAGCGCTTGATCTGATTGAGATCACAGTCTTTACATGGCTAATATACTCTGTCAACTAAAGTTGCCAGCTTAGGGTGCGCGATCCCATTTCGCTTAGCATCTTTAAGTGCGTCTACTACCTTCTGATGCTTCAGCTTATGATTTTGCGTCAGCCAAGCAAGAATGTTTTTATCATTCTGCTCCTCCAGAATAAAGGTAGGGTGTTGAGAATCCACTTGCGTGGTCTCTAAGTCTGTAGTGTTTCCAGACTCCTGTCCTGCTTTCGCATGAGTGTCATAAGTGCGCTCATGTGCGTTAGATACACCTGACTTATTAAATAGTCGCATTATATGTGTATACGCTTCAGGATTGTCTTTCATTAATCCCTTTAGAAATATGGTTTGAAAGACCTCGGGTTTGGACTTTATGTTATTAAACAAAGTCCTAGCTAGAGACTGACGCTTCTTAACAGTAGTGTCATTATTAGATTGTATTTCTTGTGCACAGACTTCAAGTGCTGTGTTACCTTTGAACTGCTTAACGTTCGATTGGGTAAAGAGTGGAATCTCTGATTCTTTGACCTTGCTAAGGAAGGTCTCAGAAAGGGTCCATTTAGTTGTTCCAATGGGACCTATACGACATATTATAGTATGTCTCCAGGGCATTTTCTGGACGGCTCGGGTACCCTGATATAGGAAAGTATCTACTTCCTTATCTAAATATATTGGCTCGCATTGTATCATGCTTATTAATTTATTGAGCCATATATATATACTCCGTAATGGGCAACACAACGTGATGGTAGCTTTATGTATATGAACATAATTTAATAGTTGGACAAATAACTGCCATGGTGGATTAGCCCACGCATTATGTTTGGAGAGGTATATTTGAAAGGCGTCTCCCAACTGATGATTTAAAGTCCTGTAATTCGATAGTTGTGCATTATGATGTGCAGCAAACATATAGATGGTATGTGGCCCAAATATCTTTTAAGTCAGTTCAAACCACCTGGGATTACATTTCCAGTCAGTGGCTAGTAACTCATGTACGGATTTATTAAAGTCCGGTACGAAGCGTGATAACATATCCGGTAAATGGTTATGTATTCCTGGCAGATGTTTTATATCAAATGAAACTTTGATATTGTATCATGCCAGCGACTCAGTAATTGTGAGTCGGGTTTCATCTCTTTCATATATTGAAAAGATTTCTGATCACACATCAGCGTAAATACTGTTCCGTATAAGTAATCTCGGAAGTGTGTTAGAGCTGTCACTATGGCTAATAACTCTTGTTTAACAGTTGGGTAATTCAACTGTGAAGCATTCATTGCTCGACTAAAAATTGTATATATCTAGATTTGTTATCTATAACCTGATATAATACTCCTTTTAAGGCTAAGTCGGAGGCGTCCGTTGCTATTTCAAACGGCACGCCATCGACTGGTCCTTGTATAATAGGGGCTTGCTGGACTGCGTGTTTGAGCGCTTTAAATGCGTCATCACACTCTTTAGTCCACAAGTCTCCTAGTTTGCCTTTATGACATCTTAAGTGTCCAAAAGGTTTAAGGTAATCAGCTAAGTGTGGTACTCCATCTGAAAATAAGTTTACAAACCCACACATGCTGTTAACATCTCTTACTGTAGTTGGTGTTCGCCAATCTAACAGGTGTTCTACCTTATCGGGGTCGATTTTAATACCTTCCCCAGATATACGGTAGCCTAAGAGTTGTATTTCGCTCATGGCGAAGTGACATTTCTTCTCGTTAATCTTGAAGTTTTGTTTGTTGAGTCTCTGAAGGAGTCGCCTGACTAATACGGTATGTTCGCTTTTAGTCTTAGAAAAGACGACTATGTCATCTATATAGACTTGCACGTCAGGCATGTCTGCAAACAATTCCTCCATTACTTGTTGAAATAATGCTGGTAAAGAGTGTAACCTGAAAGGTGCACCTCTGAACCTGTATTGTTTACCTTTCCACGTAAAACTAAAGTATTTACAATTTGGTTCATATACCTGCATTTGATGGTATCCTTGTGTAAGGTCTATAGTTGTAAATAGTGTAGCACCTTCCATCCTTCGTAGTAGCTCCTTAATATGAGGTAAGTGAAAGCTATGAGTCGGCAATAATTTATTTATCGGACTCATATCTAAACATACTCTGACTTTCTTTAACGATCCGTCAGAGTTATGTTGGTCTACGGCTAGCAGTGCCAGGTTAACTGGTGTCTGTTGATAATTAATTTCTATCACTCCATCTGCTAGCCATTTCTCAACCTGTTCTTTTACCACAGCCTCGTGTCTCCAGGATACATAGTTCCTTGAGGGACACTTTAACTGTGTAAAGTCTACCTTAGTTAAGTTAAGGCTGACATACCCGTGGTTAAAATGAAATTTTGCCCAATCTGTGATCTTTATCTTCTTATTAACTAGAATCAGATCTATGATTTTGTTCGCAAAGTCAGGTATTAATGCCTTGACTGTGTCTGACGGGGGCATATACGGATTCAGACAGTTATCGTCTGACTGATCCTTTAATGGATCTATGTTATTTGGCAGACCAATTATGGTTATACCTAGAGTGAGTAAAGCGCTCATTCCGACTATAATGTCGTACCTCTGTGACACCTTAACTATCACAGCTTGGGTAGTGATACTCCTATCATCGGCCAGGGAGATTTTAACATCTGTGGCCATGGTATCACACTTGAAAGGTTTATCATCAGCTAAAACGAGGTGAGTTGTTTGTGTTCTCCTTTTGATATCTTTCATTAATGCAAAGCGATCGAATATACATGAAATTTCTGAACCAGGATCAATCAACGCAAGGATTTTATTTCCATTGCAGTATACAGGGATTATTACACACTCATCTAAAGAGTCGTTGTATTGTCTGTGTAACGATCGTACCTGGTAGTACTTTCACTCCAATTTATTATCGGGATTTTTGTCACAAGACTTAGTGTGATAGCCATTGGTCTTCTCACACTTGTCGCACTTAATAAGAAAGTGTGTACAGGTGGATGCATGCCTGACATTCCA